GGAGCGTGGTTGACTAAAGCCACGGTCCGTGTCGACAGCGCCACTTGACGTATGGCACTGACTTTTGGAATAGACCATTTCCTACAATAATTTCAAAATGTTTGTTATAGTCAGTGCTTGTCTTCCCTACTTGGCTGCTATTTTTTTCCTCTTGTAAGATTATTAATCACAACTATGTGGCGCGCAACAAGCTGGTTGTTCTGGCACCACCGTACGTTTTATATTGTGAGGCTAGATTACCGGCACAGTTGGCATCCACATTCTTTTCGATGCTAGTTTCATTTGGTTTGAAACGATCTTGAGCGCATTACTGTCTTATTAGGGACCAAAGGCCATAAAATTTTGACTGTTTTCTAGGCTATCTGGGGAGCGATGCGGATTGGAGCATGTACGACACCGTGGAGTTGATCAGGAAGCACAAGATGCACTTCGCTTTGCCGCCCCTCGTCGACCAAGGTGATGCTGATGAGTGGCTTGAAGAAAATTTAAAGCCCGAGGAGCTTGTAAAGGCCTGCGCTGAAACTGGCCAGGAGATCAACTTGCGTTATCAAAAGGTATTGCTTTCGCATGCCCCGCCGGTAAAGTCTCTTTTACTTACAAATACTCAGTAGAACGTGTTGCACGTCATGTCGAACGCAGTTGGCAACTTTTTTGCACTTCAACTGATTTTCTGAGTTTTGTAATTGGAATACCTTGTCGTGATGCTCAGATTGATACTGTACTTAAAACAAGCGTCATTCCATCTGGTTCACATCATGTTTTAAGAAATAATCATTTTTAGGGCTACGACCACAGCTACTTCTTCATTAGCACATTCATGGAAGACCATCTTCGATTTCACGCGAAGAATCTCGCGACACTATAAAGACTTATAGAGTTCCTTTTCACTTAGTTGGTTGTAATCACTTCGCAAGAATTACAATAAACAATCATGTCACACACCACTTGTTGTGTTTGAGTGACTATATACGTATCGCAGCTTAAAATATTTAATAGATTTGCTGTCATTTGGCTTTGCTTATAAAACCTATGAGTGTTGTTAACATTGTCCTATGATGCAAGGCTATCCATTGAGAATGTTG